ATATTCATATTTATTTTAGAACTACAGTAACATCTTCTGATTTCTGTCACCATGGCAACACCAGAGCTGTCAATCAATAAATTGGAAAAAAAGTAACTTGCGTTACTTATCTGAAAAAGTAACTCAGATATTCTCTTGTAAATTAAAAAGTAATGCGTTACTTTACTAGTTACTTGAAAAAAGTAATCTGATTACGTAACTCGCGTTACTTGTAATGCGTTACCCCAACACTGATCGTTCCTATATCAGATCGTCAGTGCATGCATACTTGATTGAATTATATTATGCAGAATTGGCAGAGTTAAACATGCTGTAAACGCTGTAAAATCTCAGTTCAACATTATCTTTATTCTTATTTGAAGGGTTTTGATAACATACTTGTTAAAATAAAAGACGTTATAAAAGAGTTACGGAAAATACACAGAAAATAAGTGAACGTTTGTCCAAGCAGCTATTTTTTCCCTTATAATTTCCATCAAAACTTGCTAATTATTCAGCAAGAGCAATAGGCAGAGTTACTCAACATTGTGCAACACAATTCGGATACCACATGCCAATTTACGCTGCTTGACTTTTTCGTAAAAAAGGAGTGAAGAGTTTTTTGCCGCTTTGAACTCATCGCGACCTCTATGAATGTTGGATACAGCGCGGAACCACGGATGCGAGCTAGGGCGTGTCATGACGTGCCAAGTGAGTGACTGATTGCCATGGAAAACGTGAACGTCATGTATAGACCATCTTGTCTCTTTGAATTTTAAATCATTCTGCATTTATATACATTGCTCCATTAAAACCTCAACATGTCGTGAACACAACTCTCCAATAAAAAAGTGCGGGGGACGAATTTACTTTTTATAAAAAGTGGGGGGGACATGTCCGCGTCCCCCGCGTAATCTACGCCCCTGCCCGAGGTACTACATGTAGCTGTGTCACTAATTCTGCAATAAACATCTTCATTGAGATCTTCAACGTCCTCATCATTTTTCTTACAGTATATATATTATAATAACTAACAGTATATTTTCATTTAGGTGCCACTGCCATAAAAAGAGAAATTACAAATAGGTTTTTACTGCTTTCTGCACTGATCTGATCCACAGTAATTCATCAAGAAACTACAGCTATCAGTGTTGGGGTAACGCATTACAAGTAACGCGAGTTACGTATTCACTTTTGGTGTGAAACGGCTTTTATATTTGCCAAAAATAGAACTTTTTTATTTTAAATACAAACAAGCAAGCCCTGTCCAGATTTAAAAAGTAACGCGAAAGTAATGTAACGCATTACTTTCCATCAAAAAGTAACTAAGTAATGTAATTAGTTACTTTATGGAGTAACGCAATATTGTAATGCATTACTTTTAAAAGTAACTTTCCTCAACACTGACGGCTACTATGTGAATTTGTTAAGAGTTGTGTAACAGGTTGGATAAGCTCTCCAGATTGAAAGCAAGCGCCTCTGGAGGTGCAGAGGAAATATTAATTATGCTTAAATGGAAAATGGAAAAAATATTTTTATCTTAAGCTTCTGAGAAAATGTCAAACGTGTGAGTATTGGTAGCTTATATCATGGCATGACGTATGAACCAATAATCCAGTAAGGGGACATTTCATAACATTACGAAAGTTCTGTTAACTTATAACGACCATATATTTTGTTTATCATTGATAATACTTTACAGCAAAAACATCCAACCACTACTGTTTAACACAGAACTATGGTGCGATGGAATGATTAACTCGACCAATTCAATCTGGGTGATAAAACGGGCAACTAAAAAAATAAAAACACTGCATAATATGACTTATTCTTATTATGTCTTATTAAGTGAGTTTACCATTGAAAGCATTTGTCTTACCCGTGGTGGTTTTGTTGGGTTGTTGTGGTAGACTGACAGTTTTATCCATTCTGTAAGTAAATATCCGTAGCGATCAGCAAATTAATACGAGACTTCTCGCCAGTGTCACAAAAGTCTAGCACAAAACGAAGGAGGCGTTTCTGGGGATCTACTGAGTTTCCTGCATCGAGTAGTAGCCGTGATAGTTGCCTGTGTAAAAATACCTATTTTTTTTAATCTAATCGTTTCTACACATATTTAATGGGGGGTCAAACTATAGCACGTGTTTCTAGGATAATATTTTTTAATATTACAAGGCAAATTTATATTCAAAATATCGATAATTAAAATGCAAAGCGACCGTGCATGTTTAGCGGTAGCCTTCGCGTAAATTATTATGTCGTGTTATGTAGATTGCAGATAATGTTGTAACGTGAGTTTTCTGCAGTTATGAAAGATCTAAGTTTGAAATTATAAAACGAAAAAATTGCAAGTCTGTACAAGTTTATCACTTGTTTTGCACTTTTGGACGTTTCCTTCATATTACCCGAATTATGCAAGATGTTTCTCTGTTTTTATATCCCTATTTTTTATTTAAACAATTTCAAGCTGAGTTGTAGGTTTTTTCCCCATAACACTGAGGGAAAAAAGTGCCATGTTTAGTATATACATTTTTCTAACCGAAAAAAGGCTGTGAAATTAAATTTTTTGTAAAACTTTAAAGTAACTTTGTAAAAATAAGTGCAATTTTTATGAGGGTTTAAAGAATCCCAGGTGGTCTGTGACTACTTAGATAGAATTAGATTTTATTTATTTATTTATTTATTGTGAAATTGAATATTACATTTTAAAAATAACTCGATAAAATAAAGACGATTACATTAAATTATGCTTACCAGATCACTATCAACAACACTGCTTTTTATGTAGACTATTCATGCGAGAATGTACACAAAGTGCTGATGTGTTAAACTATGCTTCTTACTGACTTAATAAAAGTTAGACCAAAAAAGTGTTAGCTGAAATGTAAAAATACAAATAGACATCACTTACATTCGATTACTTGACTCAGTTATCATTAAAAATAAAATTTCTAAAGTAAAAATAAATAAAATTGAGTTTTTTTAAGTGTGAGTATGCCTTCAAGTATGCCAACTCAGGTCTCCCAGATTGTATATTTTATGTATACATTATAGTTTCAGTTTAGAATGCGTCACAGTCCAATCTTTGCGATTTGTGACTAGACTACTGTGGCCGAGAAGTGCTAAACAAATCACAATTCTGAAAACAAAATAACAAATTACAAACACAAATGTAAGTCTAAAAAACTAAATAACAATTCAGAAAGCACTACAACAATTCAGAAAACATTATAACAAGTCAGAAAACACAATGACAAATCCGAAAACAAATGAACAAGTAAGAAAACACAACGACAAATCAGACAAACCGGACTAGGTAGGTATAGTTTGGGACAGCGCCATTGGTTTGGGATTACTCACCGCTGACTGGACAAAACATCTGTCAATCAACGTATACAGGAAAAACCAGCCGAAGAGCAGCAGAGTCGTGGTAGAAAGTTCGGAGATGGTATTAAAGTAGCTCAGTTTAAATGTATTGTATGAATTGCCCTTACTATGGAATAAAAA